AAGGGATTCTGGAACTCATGAAAACTATCGCAGATGATCTTCTCCCCCATACGACACATACAGGTTTTACTGTTTTTAAGCTAAATATATCTACATTGATAATAATAATATTAATAATAATAATAATAATAATAATAATAATAATAATAATATAAAAACTGACTGATTCATAAAACATTAAATTACCTTAAGAAAAAGAAACTTCTATAATCTAACTCCGCACTGAATGTTTGTTCAATGAAGACCACATGTCACACATAGGTAGTGACACATACGTATCTATTATGAGGCTCTTGTATCTGCTTTTCTCCATTACTACCCTTTTTCAAGTGAAATTATAATATCAAACCCATTCTTATTTTGTGTTTTCAATTCCTTTTCCCCTGCGAATGCCACCAGTATGCTATGTCCTTCTGTCCCCTCCCCCCCGCCTCCCCCTTCCAGCATTATCGGTCTCCAACCCCCTTTCAATCCCCCCGTCACCACTTCGACGGTTCCGCGACGGTCAGCTCCCCCTCCCTCCAACCCCGGGGGCCGCATGCCCCGGCGTCGGGAGGGGTACCGGCAGAGGGAGCTCAAAGGCTGCCCCCCGTCCCGTGCCCCTGGCCCCCAGGGGGCCCGTCATTAGCTCGGAAAGAGGCTATGATGGAGACTCGCCGCTGTCGTCGACCAAATCCCCGTAATCCCCAGCGACCGCCCCCTAAGCCCATTAGAGGCGGCCACGCCACGCGACGGGAGGGAGGGGGAGGGGAGGGGAGGGGAGGGGGAGCAGGTGCTGCCGCGCGAAGGGTGGGGAGCGTGGAGGAGAGGGCGCGCAATTGATTGTCTATTGCTGAGCGCTGACGTTTCTCGCGAGGAGGTGTCAAGGCGGGTGCTCAAGCCCCATTGTTGGCAGCGGGCCGGTCAAACCGGGCGCGCCGCGCTGCTGTTGTCGCGGTGTGTTCCTTAAGTGCTGTTTGCCTTCCTTGGCTGGAGGGGTTGGGGGAACGAAACTTTGAGTCAAAACTGAATTTTAATACTGTAAGTTTAATTTATTTGATAGCGTTCAGTACTCCGTTGTATCGTAAAGTTTTTATCATTTCCTGTTTATAATCATCTTCGGCTGTATTGCAATCGTTTTTTTATATTCGCCTCCTTTAAAGTACCTAACATTGCAGTTCTACATTGTTCTGTTTACCCGATCATCTTTAATGGTATTTGTCACGATATGTATGCCTTCTCTGAAGTGGCTCGCACAAAGGGAACTTTGAATCGAAAAGCAATTTCAATATTCTGTTAATTTATTTATGTTAACCTATTGCAGTATTACATTGTTTCGCTTCTAGGCATATTATTATTATCTGTTTCTCCTTTTTTTCTTCCGTTTACCCTCTCCCTTGACATTTATCCCCCCTTTCCTTTACATTCTCTTCCTATTTCCCTCTATTACTCCCCTTTCCTCTCACTCGTCCTCTTCTGTCTCTTTCTTTCTCGCCCTCTCACTCTCTTCCTCCATTTCCAATATAACGTATTTGAAAGCCTAGTTAGATCACTGGTAAAATTCTCTAAGGGCCTGTAGTACGTTGTAGGATTAACTACAGGGATAGTTAATTCTAGAATTTCTTTTTCCGAGAATAAACAATTTTTTCAGTTGCACTACAAATCTGCATTTTCCAGATAACTACTACGTATTTTATACGAAGAAGACTCCTTGAAATATAAAATTGGAACTGCTTTCAAAAGTTTATGTTGACATATTTAACCTTTGTGTCACACTTATGAATTTTTGCCTGTTTCTGCCAACCTGAAATCGAGATTTGTTGTAAACTCACCTGTACGTTCTGAAATAGTGGGCATTAGGATTTTCGTTTCATTTTTTTTTTGTTTACGCAGTATATTTTCTTTTCGTATGTAATAATGCCTTTGATCAACATTACGTAGTTCACAGTCTGTCAAACTTTACCAAAATCATATTATTAATCACATTTTACATTTTCAATTTTCTGTTATTTGTTGATTAGGCGACTGAAATAAATTGTATAGGAATAATTCACTGTCTCAAGAAAACAAAAGCATCTCCATTAGCATCCAACAGCTGAACTGGTGTATTACTTCTTTACATAAAATGACAAATTCATACTTGTCCCTCTTTGTGAACGCTATGGATTATCGTGTACTCTATGAGTCAAAAATTATATCATCACTTTTTTATATATCTATGCTAGACATATGAAATTTGGAAGACTCGTTTCTTGTAATTACGATGGCTAAACATTTTTATGTGATTTTGGAGGAGTTTCCAATGCACCCACATCCCGCAGCATCAGTGCTGCACCCCTGGAGAAGGCGCTCAGAGGGTTCCAACCTGTTTAATTTCATTAAATGGAGAGATATTTGTTTGTTCCTTGGAACTGTATTTGAGTTCTGAATTATAATTTGCATCACCGCCATTGTAACTGAAGTTATTGACTTCATATATGACCACGAAAGGCTGAATGAAAACTACATCGAAAAGCTAGCTCCCATGTTGCTTCACAAAATTGTAATGTCTAATGAACTAAACATACATGTCAAAACAAGCATATATTGACAGCAAATGGGGACGAATTTGAACTGGATTAACGAAACAATTTACTTCTGTTGATAACCAATTCAGAAGAATAAAAAATGAGTCAGTATTTAAATTAAAGAAATTGGATGTTTTCAAAGAGACTCATTGACTGGTTGTACCTGTATATTACTGTTAGAAAACAATAATTGCCAGTTGTCAACGAGCGATTACTTTCAATTTAATGATCAAATTTAATTTCAATCACATTAATATCAGTTATTTGCAAGATTTTGCCGACGTATAGACAACTACTTCTACTCAATTGAACCACATGAAAGGTACAGAAATACTTTTTTAACCATAGAAGGGTGTGGTAAATTAATATTTTTACCACACCTGGTAGCGTTAAACACCCTCTTACGATGCCATTAACACATACCTATATATTATTTAATAATTTTCAAAAAATGAAATTCATTCAATTTCTCAATTGAATACGTAATAAATAAGTATAAATCATCACATTAACATCAATTTTGAATTTAGCATAAATGAGAAAAATGTTTATAGGAAACTTGTAAGTCGGCTGGACACGACACCTGTTACACAAAAATCCAGGTTGCGTATAACACATTACATTAGTTAGACTTATGAAACTTTGATGATTGTATAACTTTGCTGGCAATTCAAACGTATATAACTTTTTAAGAAAAATAAAATATACACATTTTGTGTAGTATGGCTGAAAACAGATTTGTGCGTTGATACATTTTCTACTTTTTTAATTTTCCTTTTTTTCTTCCTTCAGCTTTTTCCTGCATTCGTAGGCTAAATGTGAGAGTAGCAGAATGTGAATTTAGTTAATAATTTCGTTGCTTTTAATTAAGGAATTCGGGTTCTGTGACCCTATGGAAGGTGTACTGGGGACTTGTAATCAGCCCTTAACGCGATAACCACATTAAAAATAAAATAGTTGATCTTTAAGTCGAGATATTTTTACGTCTGTAAATCATCTGCCACTGCCCACTACATTTCACGAAACCAACTACATGAGAATTGCATTATCCCCTTCGAAATGCACTCGCACGAATCAACACGACCTCCGAACAAACACTTGCGTATATCCCCAAGGCCGTCGCAAACGACATTTGCCAGAGGGTTTCACGAGGGATGCTGGAGCCCAACGACTTTACAATCGATCCAGCTCGACTCCATACACGCCGGGGTCCACAGGGCTCTGCGAATTAGTCTGCCATTACACGGTTTATGGCACATCTCTTGAAGCATTCCTTGGGCACTGGGGGGTTCCTGTACGCACGAGCCTGTCGGAAAAGTCGGCCTCGTGATTTGATAACGGGAGATATGAAATTTGGCGTTGCCCTGTCACTGGGTAATGAAGTAGACCGGTCGTTTATGATCCGACGGGCGTGACACGACGTGAAAATGTAGTCGAGTGTGAAACGACGTCGCGGTGCGTGGTTGAAACGCGAGTGATTTCTGGTGCACCGTTCGGAGAAAAGGGACTTGACGCGGTGAACTTCATTAGTACATTCTCTTTTTACTTCCTCTGTGTTTACTTCTTTATTCTCATGATTTTCATTGGTGATTTGATATCGAGGCAATTTGATGTACGAAGTTGATCATCATGCTGATTGGAGAGGTAGAAATAGTCCAGATTCACAGTTGGACTTTTTGTTTCACAGAGACAGAACCTTGAAATATTTAATACTGCTCATTTATAAATAATAATTCGAATAAATTTACAATAATTATGCCATGTGGTTAATTATTCTTCCAAGCACAAGCAAACCATATAAACACGTATATATTCACATATTGAATTTGTACAGGTATCAATAATGAAGGAGAGATCGCACATGGTCCTTGATCCGTTTGTTATGTAGAGATCCAGCCTGGTGTTGATATGAGAAACCAAGGAACACTACCCGATCAGAGCAGCCAACCTCTAGAATTCTCTTCCAAGAAGTTAGTGAATTCGCTACTAGTACTGAGAATTCATACTAGCATAAATACCGTGGTTATGCTAGCATGCAGTTTCTTGACCGCGCTAGTGTCGAATAGCCTCCTCCATCGTGTTTCGTGTCTTAGGACATCCCAGTCAACAATACCACGAAAGTAAAGATGTTGCGGTTGAACTACCTCAGCCGGTAATGTTGTAAGACGATGCCTGATTCTTAAGATTGGATAGGTAATATAAGAAGCTAATCACTCCACGCCAGAATTACGTGTTGAAAACCACCAGGCTTGCGCGACTCTCAAACCCTCAGACTTCAGCTTCTATATATCTCTCCAACCCCAACAAATAATGAGAACCACAAGGAGGAGGAGGAGAATGAAGATAACGACATGGGAGAGATAAAAAGAAGAAGAATAAGAAGGAGAAGACGAGGAAGAGGAAAGAGAAGGAGTAGGAATCGGAGGACAAAAAAGTAGAGTGGAGGGGAAGTAGGAGAAGAAGTTGAAGAAGGAACAGCAGACGAAGGAAGAGAAGGAGAAGGAAATAGAGGACAAACAAGTAGAGTGGAGGAGAAGTAGAAGTAGAACAGAAGAGGAGAAGGAGACGACGAAATTGGAATAATTTTTAATGCTTCACTAAATCATCACCGAAACCTAATACGCTACTCATGAGCCATCCTAGAGGCTAATTCAAAAACGAAACAAGTGAAGGGTGTTCGTTTCCGGACGCCGTCGGAGGAGGTCGTGAAGGACCACTGTGACCATTTCCAACCACCATCGCGTATTTCAACGAATCCGACACATGTGACGTAAAATAGTCCGACATAGACCGATCTAAGTTCCACCTAAAACCAACTCCGCTGTGACGACCACCTAAGACCTCTGAAGACGACACCCGGACGTCAGCCAGCCGCCCCCCCCCCTGTCGCCCGGGGGTCCACATCTGTCGCGGCGGCGGAGCGCTCCGCCCCCCGCGGGGGCCCCGCGAAATTGATTCTGATTCTCCTCCGCGCCGGCTGCTCTCGGGCCCATTACGCCCCCCGGCCCCCCTCCGCCACGCCCACTCGCCCTCACCCGCTCTCGCCCGCCCGCCGCCCGACCCGCCCACCCGCCCTCGGCCCTCATCCTCGCTCTCACCGCTCCCGCCCGCCCGCTCCGCCGCCCGCCCCCCGCCCGCCCCGCCCGCCCGCCCGCCCCCCCCCCGCCCGCCCGCCGCGCCGCCCCGCCCGCCCGACGACCGACCGCCCGCCCCCGCCCGCCCGCCCGCCCCGCCCGCCCGCCCGACCGACACGACGACGACCAGACGACCGACCCGACCGACCACCTCGACGACCGCCGGACGCCCACCGCCCGACCGCCCGACCGCCCGACGCCGACCGCCCGCCCGCCCGCCCGCCCGACCCCCCCGCCCGACGGACCGCCGACCGACCGCCCACCGCCCGCCCGCCGCCCGCCCGCCCAGCCGCCCGACGCCGACCGCCCCGCCCGCCGCGGGCCCCCCGCCCGCCCGCCCGCCCGCCCGCCCGCCCCGCCCGCCCGCCCGCGCCCCCGCCCGCCCGCCGCCCGCGCCCCCCGCCCGCCCCGCCCGCCCGCCCGCACCGCCCGCCGACCGACCGACCGACGACCGAAGCCACCGAACCGACCCGACCGACCCGACCCCCCAACCGCCCGCCTCCCAACCGCCACGCCCGCCCGCCCAACCGCCCGCCGCCAACCGCCGCCCCGCCCAACCGCCCCGCCCGCCCGCACGCCCGCCGCCGCTCCCCGCCACCGACCTCTTATCCGCCCGCCCATTTCCCACCCAACACACACACACAGCAACAAACACAAAACACAACACACCGCCCACACGCCACACGCCGCCCGCCGATATTTCCGAAAAACCCTAGATGCAGAGAAAGAAACGCCGAGATATTTCCATTTTCAGTCCAAAATCTCTGAAAAGTGTTTTCGTTTTACATTCCCGGTATCCAATGACACTTTCTCACCATGACCAGAGACTGCACAGATTTCCGGTTAATGTTATACGTATATTTCCAATATCTAGTTCAGAGTTTATCATTTACCCCTCATTGCCTCTCTGGTTCAGGTACAGTCCAATTAAAATAGCCAATCTACTCCAATAAATATACTACTCAAAAATCTAAAAATTTACTTCAAAATAAATGTTAGTTATAATAAATGTAATAAACCTTGAGAGGTATCTCATGTACATAGCCTTACAGCAGTTCTGACTTGCACCCTCTCGAGAGTGAAACGAAGCCCGCAGTGGCAAGTATACCATTGGCCTGTGAATAAAACTCACTGGCGATTTGCCTATTCTATTTTTGTTAGCAGTGCAGAAAAAATCGTTCAATGCAATTTACTTACGCATGCAAATAAGTGTTTTCTGTAACTCGGAAATCGAAAAATATCTATATTTTCTCAATATTGCGATATCTTGCGCTTTTTTTAAAATTTATTGTTTTATTTAATTTTATTTTTTAAACTTTACTCCAGATGTTTAACATATTCATAGTTAAAGGACCGGAAGCGCGATGCTGGAAATCAGAGGAAAACGTATTAGAAAATGCAAAGAAAGAGATCAATCTTCTCCCTTATACGTCACATACATTTTTTACTGTTTTTTTTTTTTTACTAAAAAATCTAAATCTAAATCTAAATCGAGCGCGAACATCTTTCGAATGCTTTAGTTAAAGAAACCCTCGAACAAGTGTTGTGGGGCCGAATGGAACGGATTGCAGATCTCGCTCCACACCTTCCCCGCCTGAACCTGGCCCCAACCCGCTTAAGCCCTCTCCCCCGGCAAACCCAGGCCCGGGCCAACCGCGCCCACGCCTGCGGCCGCGCCCAAACGCCCCGACAACCTACGCCCAGTCCACCATTCAAGCCCGCGGTTTAAAAGCCGCCCGCCATCACCAAAACATCCGCGCTCTACCATACCGTCGGCCGCACATAGCACGCCTCGCGTCCCAAATAACCCACTCAAACGCTCGTCCGCCCCAAGTACCCACTCTACCTATCTACCCACTCGCATACCTACCTGCCACCTATCTATTTTCATATCCGATCTTCTTACGACCTTTCACTTACTTTAACCTACCAATAACTAGAACATACCTATCTACCTTTCTAATGCTACCTTATCTTTTCGTACCTACCTACTTAACCTATCGCACCTGCCTGCATATCTGTAATTAGCCCGTCGCCTTACCTGCCTGCCATATCTCTCTACTACTTACCTTACCTACTTGCAGCGCGCCCCGCCTGCCATGCTTTTGCAGCCTGCAGCACCCTTCCTCTGAAACTGTCCGCCCGCCACATCAACCGGCCGAGCCAGCTTGCACTTGGCCGACCCCTCGCCGTTTGCTGTCGCCCCTCATATTCAGGCCACCGCGAGGGCGAGCGGCCCCCGCTCCTCGCCCCTTTCACCACTCCCCGAGCATGTCACGCGCCCCTCGCCGCCCTCCGGCCACATGTGAGCCCTGCCCGTCCGCGCCCACCACCCCCGCCCGCCGCGTCCTCGCTCCGCCGACCCGCTCACCCGCTCACTCCCCTCGCTCGCCCCACTCGCCGCTCTCGCGCCAAAGCACTCGGCCCGCTCTCCTCGCCCGCCCTTTCTCTCGCTCTGCCCTTCTCTCGCCCGCTCTTTCTCTCGCACGCACTTTATCTCGCACGCTTTGCTTCTTGCCGTTCTTCTCTCAGCACGTTCTCTCATCAGCCCACTCTTATCTCGCCCTTCTCTCGCCCTCTCTCTCTCGCCCTGTCTTGCTCATGGCCTCTCTCTCAGCTCCGCTGCTCTCTCTCTGCTACGCCCCACGCCTCGCGTGCTACACTCTCGCCCCGCTCCCGTTCTTACTCTCGTCTCTCCGCTTCTCTGCATCGTCTCTCGCCGCGTCCTCTCTCTCTCTCGCCCGCTCCATCTCTCTCTCGCCCGCTCTCTCTCCGCTCGATTCTCATCTCGCCCGCTTCTCGTCTCTCGTCCCCTCTCTCTCTCGCCCGCCTCTCTCTCTCTCTCGCCCGCTCATCTGCCGTCTTTCTCCGGCCCGCTTCTCTCTCTGTCGCCCGCCTCTCTCTCGCCGCCTCTCTCTGCGACCCGCTCTCTCTCTTCGCCCAGCTTCTCTCCTATCGTCTCCACCGCTCTCTCTCTCCGCCACCGGCTCTCGTCTCCTCTGCTCGGCGCCGCTCATATCCTTCTCTCTCGCGGCCGCTCGTCTCTCTCTCTCTTCCCGCTGGCCCTGCTTTCTCTTGCTCGCGGCACGCTCTCTGCCCAGCCCTCAACCCGCGCTTCTTCTCTCGCACCGCTCTTTCTCTCGCCCGCTCATTTTCTCTCGCACAGCCTCGTTCCTACTCTTCGCCCCCGTCCCCTCTTCTGGTCTCGCTCGCCTCTTTCTCTCTTCATCCTCCTCCCCTCGTTTCTCCTGCCCCTCTCAGTCCGCTTCCCCTCGCCTGCTCACTTTCTTATTCCCTTCCGCAGTAATATTCGTGTCCTGAATTCGGTCAATCAAACAGTTCCGCCACTTTTAGCGAAAGTACACAAAACGAGTGACTTTGGTTCTAGTGTTAAATTACCTAAATTCCCCATTCTAACACTTTACAGTGCTCGTAGAGAAAAGTTTGCCAGCTACTTAGTCGGGGGGGGGGTCCGGTGTCATCTCAGAAATGTCGTCACTCCCAAGGAAAAAGCTGACTTTAAAACCTGATCTTGATCGATGATGAGTTTATAATGAAAAAGAGGCCGTTCTTATTAATCGCTTGTAAAATGAATTTAGGCAAAGTTCAATACGGATATGGTTGTTTTCAACTTCAAGATGTGGTTGCTAGGCTATTATCGGGCCAGACTGCTGGTACTATGTTTTGCAAGTTGAAATTATCCTGACCAATTAGGTCACATTTAGATTTGACCCGTTAAACAAATGGGGGATCGTAAAACAATGTCGAATAACTTGTTGCAAAAATTGGCATTTTTTAGCAAAAACATTATGTGTTTGCACCTTCCCAATGAATTTAATTCTCCTCTCTAGGAAAGATTTCATAGAAAATAAATTTTAAAAAGGATAATCCATTTTTAAATCAGAATCGC